GGTTGTGCGGATGCATTCCTTTAAGAATAATTATCTATCAATCATCGCTCGACCTTTAATGTCAATGGTTTATCGTGATATGGATTAGGTATTGTGCTCACTGTTGTTGACAATTTGTGAAATTCAAAAATTTGACAAAATAAAGTAAATTTCGGGGGGTCTTCTCGAACTTAATGTTCTAGCTTGAGACGCAAATCCCTAAGCTGGTATAATGAAGGCAAAATTTAAACCAAGAAAGTTAAAGCAGTAATCCACATAAATTTTCTTTGAAATTGATGTGTGACCAAAAATACTCTTGGGTGGTCTATGATTGACCATTTATAAAGGATGCAATTACTGCATTAGTGGTCGTCCAGGTGCCTATGTCATGAGGTGGGGGTGTGATGGCGGGAAACTTTTCCCAATTACAACTAGTGGGAGGAGCCAAGTGGTTGCTAACGGAATCATGGCGGTCCTATTTAAATCGCCCATGGGAGTATGGTATATGGAAGCAATGGCTCGGTGAGGCCCCAAGCGAGTTCCCAAGTACCATACCCACGTAGGCTTGGGTTTGCTGTGGGGCTTGATGGGCCAGCCGTTATTCTTTTGGATTAGGTTCTTTGGGTTTAATTTTCAAACTAAAATTTAACCAAATAAAATAAATTTCAAGCAATTTGGTCAAACTTCATTTTTTACCTTGAGATGTGAAATCCTTAAACTGGTACAATGAAAGGTAATTTAAAGCAGCCATCCCTAAAATTCCCTTTGAAATTAATGTGTGATTGAAGATACTCTTGTTTGGTCTATGTTTGACCACTTATAATATAAGGAATAAATGTGATCACTACGTCACTGGTCGTGCACGTGCCTATGTGTGTGGTTGGAGTATGGTGGTGGGCATTGTTTTCTTCAGTGACAAGTAGTCGAACGGGCAGAGTGGCCAATTGCATAATCGTGGTGTGCTTCCTGAGACCTCTATGGGAGTCTAGTAGGTGTGATTCAATACAACAATCAATCATGGTGCAGCTCATAGTCTAGTTTCCGAATGGTACGATTCAGTGTGGGGGATCTCGGTGGGATCCTGAGTGACTCCCTAAGTGTCATACCTAAGTGGACTTCCATTGGATGTGGGGCTTGGTGGGCATGTTTTTCTAGGACCGGTCCTTAAGGTTTAATTATCACAGTGTAAGAATTATATTATATTGATATATGAATATATAAATATATATATATGATTTTGGGTGGAAGAAGGTCATTTAATCGGCAATAAAGTTTAGTCGGTCAAAGGACATTTAATATTGTAAAGGACATATTGACACAGAATACATACAGGTTAAGTAAGTTGACAAGTAAAGGCAAAGTCTTCCACCAACACAGAAACTCACTTCCAGGAGTAAAATTGCCAATTTTGCTTCTACTTTAATTATTGTTTGGAATTGCATTTGGAAACCACACAATACTTAGCATTCGTAGGTCCAATATAGCCCTTTATATTTCTCATTCAGTGCATGCTGGCATGATGGGGTCGAATTGAATAGCCAAATATATTTTCATATTAGTGTACACAACCACCCTTGCAGAATTTCCTTTGTTGCAAACTAGTGGAAAGCAAATAGTGCTTCCTTGCGGATTTGTGGCGCCGGTGCTAAAACTGCCCATGGGAGTCTGATAACTGCGATTCAGTACAATACTCATTGATCGTGCACCTTTCGGACAAGTTATTAGGATAGAGTATGTTTCAGTAGGGTACGGAGTCAGTGAGGCGCCAAAAGACTCCCCGACTACCATAGCCAAGTGAGCTTCGGTCGGCCGTGGGGGTTGGTGGGCCTTCGGTTGTTATTCTGAACCCGGTTCTTTCTGCTTAATTTTCAAAGTTTATCAGAAGATTGATAAAAGTATAGAAACTAAAAAAGAATCCCCAACTAGCCGGTGCCTTTCCGTACAGTATTCACTCGTGGTACAACTTTTACTCTGATTTTCATATAGTAGATTTCGGTGACGTGCGTGGTCAATAAAATGCCAAATAATCCCCGACTACCATACCCAGGTGGGCTTAGGCCTTCTGTTGTTATTGTGGGTCCGATTCTCATGACTTAATATTGAAGGTATAAAAATTATATTATATTCATATGAATATATATATAAAGAAAAAATTGGATAGAGAAAGGCCTCTAAAACGAGCAGCATTGGACAATCTATTGACTGGCTTACCAAAGAGCACACAATGATAGAGAATCTTGTAACGAAGAGTAAGGAAAGCTCTCTCGCATCAGTCATTTAGATTTGCGGAAGCTAGACCACTTCAAATGGCAAAATATTTTTTTATATTTATATATCTATTAATATTTTACATCCATTGAGAGAATAGGCAGAATTGGACAATAATAGTTGAAGGTAAGATACATAAAGAACGTTGTCAATAATAGTTATGGAATGAAGACGCTATGCTTTCACATTCATCTTATTTATCAAACTATTGATTGACTCACCAAATTATATACATCAACAAAGAACTGAGTAACGAATCACAAGACAAGATGCAAATGCGTTAGTCATTTCGTCTTTTCTGAGATTGAAATGAACTGAATAATTATTTTTATAGATGGCGACAAGAGCGGCAAAAAGAAATATCAACAAAGAAAATCCGCCTAACTCCTTCCTATTATCAGTGAGTTCAAACGGTGCATTTGGGATCGGCCAAATCCTGTTTGCATCCTCCTATTGGCCAATTGTTTAAAATCTATGCCCACGTCTCAGCTCCAGCAATTTTATAATACCGATGAGTTGTGCAGAATATTTCTCTTTTTTGTTTGTTTATATTATTATAATTTTTCTTTATAAAATAATATTCATATTGAGATACTTTTACTACGTAATTTTAAAAAATATATTATATTGATATACAGATATAAAAATACTTAAATAAAAATATTCTTGGATGAAGGAACGTCTCTAAATTGGTCAAAAATTATCTTCGTTCAAAAGACATTTCATGTTGCAAATGACATATTGGGACAAAGAAGATATACAATCTACAATAGTACATAAGTCACATATTAATGTATTGATATATTCGTATATAACAGTATTTACATATCTATATTTTATCTATCTGATATCGATAATTATATTTAATACTTTTATTTTCCTATCTTTCTATACATATAGTTATCCATATATTTATATATTTTACATATTAGTACTATATTTCATTATGATAGTGTTCAAATGATTTAATCACTTAAAATAATTGTAAAGTTTTAATAACGGAATCATGGCATATCCCCAGTTTTAACAAATTCAAATATGACCTAATTTTTAATCATGCCTGGGAGAGAAGCCCAGCCCAAAATTCTTTTAAGGCTTATTTATTAGAGTACAAGTCCAACATGAAAGTTTTTGGACCAGTCATTTTCGGGGGCCTATTCGTAGTAACAATTTGATGATGTAGTAATTAATTCATTATTGGATCCACAACAATAACAATTAACAATGTTTAAGGTAAATTTGTCCATAACTCACGTATGGTTTTGAAATTTAGCATAAATATCTCCTATAATTTAAAAATTATATAGCACTCATTTATACTTTAAAAAACGAGTGCGCTCTGGGTAAACCCTAGGTCGAACCTAATAACCTGCAAATTAGGCTCGACAAGACAAGTCACACTAGGCGAATCATGTGTGGTAGACAAGACCTGAAGGCGTCGAGGTTTGAACACATGACCTCACAGTCACGAATCCATCTACACACCACCAGGTCATTCTTTACGAGACTCCTTTTTACATTTTGTGTGATGAGAAGATGATTTCTCATCTACATTTTCTTTTGCATAGCGAGGGGTTCATGCAATATTTTTTAAAGTATAAGGGAACTATGCAATATTTAAAGTAAAGAGGGGGATTTATGCTAAGTTTCAAAATCACAAGGGAGTTATGAACAATTTTGCCTAATTTTTAATAAAAATGTATTCCCTCCGTCCGCCAAATTTTGTTCTTATTTTTCTTTTTCGTCCGTTAAATTTATCCCAGTATTATATATAGAAAAGTCAAAAATTCTATATTTAATTATTATCATTCATTCAATACTTATTTTACCACAAGTACCACTAATTTTATTACATTCTCTCTTCATTCTTTTTAATAATTAACTAAATAATACCCAACTACCTTTCTACTTTTTCAATAAAATACTCATTTTTCTTAATTCTCGTACCAAGTCCAAATGGGTTAAATATGAAAATTTTGAAATCCATTTGCAGTTTGGGCACGTGCAGGTCAAACACCGTTAAATAAGAACAGCAATGGGGTTAGACTCGGATTTATAAAATCATGAGGGAGTCTGATAGCTTTGGAAGTATGGAGATTTGACGCAATTTTGTAAAATCATATGTGATTTTTGTACAATTTTGTTTAAAAGAAAACTCAAATTCAACTAAAACTAAAACCAAACAAACCTTTGTTTTTGTTTGATTTTACTGTACATGTGTTTTTTAAAAACAATAATCAAATTGTTATAAGTAATAATAATATAATATAGATGTATGGCGTGTAAGTATATATATATGTATGTAATGATTACTTATATATTATACAAATATATGTATGTATTAATATATATAAAGAGAGTGTGAGGGGGGCAGAGGTAGGAGTAGATAGAATTTTTATTTCGAATGAATCTTAACTGAAAGATCAATCCCATATTTATAGGCAATAAGGAATACCAATACTGGTGTAAAATGAGCCACCTCGCCCGTCCATTCCAATGCACATCGACGTGATGTGTATCATTTGTTTACCACACTCCCCCTTGGACGGGCATTATTATACAAAGAATGTGCCTCGTTAAAACCTTACTATGAAAAAACCCTATGGAAAAAAAATCATAGTGAAGGAAAAAGAGTACATCATTCTTGTATTGATTTTCTCCCCCTGATTTGAACTTTTACTTGAGATCTTTAAGCCGACGCATTCCAATTCCTTTCACCAGTTTGTTGAATATTGTTGTCGGTAGAGCCTTGGTTAATAAATCTGCAAGATTTTTAGATGATCGGATATGTTGCACATCAATATCACCATTCTTTTGCAGATCGTGAGTAAAGAAAAACTTTGGGAAATATGTTTTGTTCTATCTCCTTTAATGTATCCGCCCTTTAACTGAGCAATGCAAGCTGCATTGTCTTCATATATAGTCGTTGGGGATTTTCGTTTTCCAGATATTAACCCACAATTCTTTTTAATAAGATAGGTCATCAATCTCAGCCAAACACATTCTCGACTCGCTTCATGAATAGCCAATACTTCGGCATGATTTGATGATGTTGTAGTTATTGTCTGTTTCGTGGATCTCCAGGAACTCACAGTGTCGCCATATGTAAATATATAGCCGGTTTGTGATTTTGCTTTGTGCGGGTCAGAAAAATACCCAGTATCAGCATAGCCTAATAACTCATGTCGAGAATCATTCGGGTAAAATAGGCCAAGATCACTTGTCCCTTGAAGATAGCGCAAAATATGCTTAACCCCATTCCAATGTCGTTTGGTAGGAGATGAACTGAATCTGGCCAATAAATTTTCTGCAAATGCAATATCTGGCCTACTGCTATTTGCTAGGTACATAAGTGCACCTATTGCACTGAGATATGGTACTTCTGGACCAAGTATCTCTTCATCATCTTCTTTTGGTCTAAATGGATCTTTGTTAGGATCAAGTGACCTGACGATCATTGGGGTACTTAATGAATGTGCTTTATCCATATAAAATCATTCAATACCTTCTGGGTATAGGCGGTTTGGTGGATGAATATTCCATTATCCACATATTCAATTTGCAGACCAAGACAAAACTTTGTCTTTCCAAAGTCTTTGATCTCAAATTCCCTTTTCAGATATTCCACGGCTGATTGGAGCTCTTCAGGAGTCCCAATAATATTGAGATCATCAACATACACTGCAATGATCACGAACTGTGACCCATTTTTCTTTATGAAAACACATGGACATATTGGGTCGTTAATGTAACTTTCTTTGGTTAAACACTCAGTGAGGCGGTTATACCACATGCGTCCAGACTGTTTAAGTCCATACAGAGACTTTTGTACTTTAATGGAGTAACATTCTCTGGGATTTAATTTGCATGCTTCAGGCATGTCATATCCTTCAGGGATTTTCATATAAATATCATTCCCCAGTGAGCCGTACAGATAAGCAGTAACTACGTCCATAAGGCGCATATCAAGTTTTTCATGCACGGCTAGGCTTACTAGGTATCTGAATGTGATACCATCCATAACTGGAGAATATGTTTCATCATAATCAACCCCAGGTCTTTGTGAGAATCCTTGGGCTACAAGTCTCGCTTTGTATCGGACAATTTTATTGTCCTCATTTCTCTTTCTCACAAATACCCATTTGCACCCAACTGGCTTAACACCATCCGGTGTTGGAATTATAGGTCCAAAGACATTTCTTTTGGCCAGTGAGTCTAATTCAGACTGGATCGCATCTTTCCATTTTGGCCAATCGTTTCTTTTCCGACATTCATCAACTGATGTTGGCTCGGGATCCTCTTCATTTTCCATTATATCGAGTGCCACATTATATGAAAATGCATTATCAATTATTGTTTCATTTCGGTTCCAACTCTTATTTGTAGTGGTAAAGTTAATTGAATTTTCAATAACTTCATTTTCTTCTCAGGTAGGCTCTTCAGGAGCATCATCTTCAAGTATTTGTTCTATATCACTACAAATTGTTTGAGGGACTGAATCATTGTTCAATATCCTTTTCTTTCGGGGATTTTTATCCTTGGCACAGAGGATTCATTGGCACTTTTCATTTGTCCTTCTGGGACATTTAGTTTTTCCGGTGCATTTGCTGCAGGAATATACGACCTGGTGACTCTGCTGGAGTCATTAAATGCATCCGGTAATTGATTTGCAATTTGTGGCAAGTGTATAATTCTTTGTACTTCTAATTCACACTGCCGTGAATGAGGATCCAGGAAATTCATAGGTATTTTCCAAGAAATTTCCTTTTTCAGTTGATTTTGTTCTCCCCCTAATGTCGGGAAATTTGTTTCGTCAAAATGACAGTCTGCAAATTGCACAGTAAATTGATCACCCGTCATTGGTTCGAGGTATTTAATTATCGACGGTGATTCATACCCGACATAAATTCCCAAACGGCGTTGGGGGCCCATTTTTGTACGCTGAGGTGGTGCAATTGGCACGTAAACTGCACATCCAAAAATCCTCAGATGAGATATATTGGGCTCTTTTCCAAACACTAATTGTGTTGGGGAGTATTTCTGATAGCTTGTCAGTCTTATTCGCACAAGTTCTGCTGCATGTAATATTGCATGTCCCCAGGCAGAAACGGGGAGTTTGGATTTCATCAGTAATGGTCTGGAAATTAATTGCAATCTCTTGATAAAGGATTCTGCCAGACCATTTTAGGTGTGAACATAAGGAACGGGATGTTCCACAGTTATCCCCAAAGTCATGCAATAATCGTCGAATGCTGGTGACGAATATTTACTAGCACTGTCGAGACGAATTTTCTTTATTGGATAATCAGGAAATTGTGCTCGCAGTTTAATTATTTGTGCAAGCAACCTTGCAAATGCAATATTACGCGTAGATAACAAGCATACGTGTGACCATCTTGTTGATGCATCAATGAGCACCATAAAGTATTTAAATGGCCCACATGGTGGATCTACAGGTCCACATATATCACCCTGAATTCTTTCCGAAAATGATGGGGATTCAATCCCAACTTTGGTTGGTGACGGCCTGATTATCAATTTGCCTTGTGAGCATGTAGCACACGCGAATTCATTTGAATTCAAGATCTTTCGATCTTTCAATGAATGGCCAGTGGAGTTTTTGATTATTCGCCTCATTATGGCATTTCCAGGATGCCCGAGCCGATCGTGCCAAATCAAAAATTCATTTGATTGCGTAGACTTCAGGTCTAATGCATATGTTTCAACGGTACTTATTTTGACATAATACAAGCCAGAGGACAATGAGAGCAGTCCCGCAACTGCACATTTATTTCCATTGATGATTTTTGTAATCACCAAATATTCATTATTTGCCTCGTCCATTGTTTCAATATGATATATGTTTATACGAATATCAGTGAAACTCAGCAAATTTCTTCGAGCTTTACTCGAGAACAGTGCATTTTGTATTTCGAGCCTGATTCCTTCGGGGAAACAGATAAGGGCTCTTCTAGAGCCTTCAATTGTTGCACTGCCACTTATTGTGCTGACTTTTGATTTTCCCAACTTCAGGTGGGAGAAATGCCTTTTGTATTTCAATATTGTGTGTGTAGTCTCACTATCAATTAGGCAAATATTGTCCTTTTTATAATGTGTATTTTGACACGTGGCATTCATATTCTTTTCAAAATAAAACGAACAAAAAGACAATATATTAATATAGCCGATGGAATACAAAATGATACAAAAAATAGGGTATTACAAAATGTAGAAGGGGTACAAAAAGTAATAAAACAGTAAAGTACGTAGTCACTTGGCACCTTCAGGGTGCTCAAGGAAGTCTGATGTATCAACATGCATAAGGTCGCTATTTAGGACATCATCATATGTGTCATCATTGTTCTATTCAGCGAGGTTTACATTAGCAGATGTGTTCTTCAAGACATCATCATATGAGTCATCATTATTCTGCTCAGAGAGATTTATATCAGCAGACGTATTTTTCCCTTTCAGCGAAGCTTGGTACAAATCAGCAAAATGCTTAGGCGTTCTGCAGACTCGCAACCAGTGTCCCTTTGTGCCGTACCTATGACACTTATCTTCATAATTTCTTTTTTGCTCGTCATTCTGCCACTTCAGGGGCTTATATGGTCTTTTGCCATTATTTCGATGAGGCTGGGGACGGTCGCGTCTTTGGTCTCTGCCATCTCTCCGGCCTTTGTTGTTTCTGCAGCCTTGATTAGCAGACTGTACCGCATTCGCTTCAGGGAATGGGCTGGAACCTGTTGGCCTGGATGCATGATTTTTCAATAATAGTTCATTATTTTGCTCTGCCAACAGAAGACATGTAATGAGATCAGAATATGTTCTGAAGCCTCTCTCTCAATATTGCTGCTGTAAAATCACATTCGAGGCATGGAATGTGGAGAATGTTTTCTCCATCATGTCACCATCAGTAATATTCTCGCCGCATAAGTTCAACTATGAGGTGATCCTGAACATGGCGGAATTATATTCGGTGATCGATTTGAAGTCTTGAAACCTCAAATTATGCCAATCGCTGCATGCTTTCGGCAGTACGATCAACTTCAGGTGATCGTATCTTTCTTTCAATTTATTCCACAAGTCAAGAGGATTCTTGACTGTGAGATATTCCATTTTCAATCCTTCATCGATATGATGTCGGAGGAATATCATTGCCTTCACTCGGCTCTGATTGGTAGCATTGTTGCCTCGCACAATCGTTTCACCCAAGCCCATTGATTCCAGATGCATTTCAACATACATAGCCCACGATAGATAATTTTTGCCAGAAATGACAAGTGGGACAAATTTTTGTTTTGCAATGTTAGTTAGCAATAATAATATTGAAATATACTTACCGTGCCGGAAAAGCTGATCGTGCTGATAACGTATTATAAGTAATAATAATATAATATAGATGTATGGCGTGTAAGTATATATATATGTATGTAATGATTACTTACATATTATACTAATATATGTATGTATTAATATATATCAAGAGAGTGTGAGGGGGGCAGAGGTAGGAGTAGATAGAATTTTTATTTCGAATGAATCTTAACTGAAAGATCAATCCCATATTTATAGGCAATAAGGAATACTAATACTGGTGTAAAATGAGCCACGTCGCCCGTCCATTCCGATGCACATCGACGTGATGTGTATCATTTGTTTACCACACGAATCAAATATTTAGATAAAATTACATTTTTTTTCCTTGCATGCAAGATTGTTCCAAATTTAATCTCTATATTATTAAAATGGCCATGTTGATTTTTTTACTCATATATGTGTCAATTTCAATCTCTTTATTTTTAAAATAATAATTTTAATCCTTTATCAATTAATATGGCTCAAATTTAGTCCTTAATTACTATTTTCTTAAAAAATTAATAAATATACTTATAATATGCATTGTCATCCGAAACACTATCATTAGAAAATCTTTTCATAGAAACTATTATTGTTATAGTACTTATGACCAACAAATACCTAGCAATTATGTTGTTTAGATAGATGATTTTCAAATTGAGTGTTTAAGTTTAATTTAAAATGACTTATCTCGAAAAATATATTTGCAGAGAAATGTTTGAAAAAAATATATATTTTCTCCATCCTTACTTAAAATATTTTTTTTACAATTTTAGCTTGCCCACTAAAAAATATCTGTGTCATGATATAATAAAAGTACTTTACATACAAATACAAAAATACTTTTACTTTTACACAAATTATAAAAATATTACTCTCTCCGTCTTAGATAATTTTGGCGCATTAATGTAAATATAAAAATTTAGATAAAATATCATTAGTAAATAATTAAAAAGTATATTAGTAAAAATAATTGTTGTATAATAAACATAATTATAAATTATGATTAAAATAACTAAATGGTTTAATTAAAATTAAATAAATTATAAATTATGAAATTTAAAATATTATTAAAGTGTATAATCACATTTTCAAAAAAAAAATATGACAAATTATGTGGGACAAATTATGTGAGAATGAGGGACTATTACTTTATCTATACTTTATAAGAGCAAAAATATCAAATCATTTTACACATTTTTACTAATTAATAAAATATTATTATTTTTTAATCTACTATAAAAAAAAAATGGCACATTTTGAAATGAGACAGATGGAATATAACGTATTTTAAAAAATGAATGAGAATGATACTCGCAAAAAAAACAAATATGTGTTAATTCCGTAAACTCAAAAATTTTACAAAACATATTGTAGACACTAAAAATATATGTCTAAAATCAATTAGATATCATATATTTTGGAAGATAATAAAATTCCAATAAAATAAATATATGGTATTTAATTATGCACATATGTTAATTTTTGTACAATAAATATCAACCATTAATGCAAAAGTCTGCTTAAAATGGAAGATATCGTACAAATATTACGTGCATAAATAGAGCCATAATAAATTTGGCAGCAAAATAAATTAATCTTGTTAATAAAAGAAGTATATAAATTCATATCTTCCGAAAAAGGGCAATGATATAAAGATCTTGGCGAGAAAGGAAGGTACACAATCAAATCCGTCAAGAATAGAAAAGAGCATCTAATGGAAAAGGAAAGATTATAAAATCTTCCTATTGGTCAATCAAAACGCGCCATGTGGCACCATTAAAAAAGGAAGCCGAAGCCACTCATCCCCTATAAATAGGAGCCATGGCCAGTTCATTTGACACACCGAAGTTGGATCGAGGATTCAAGCAAAGGGGTAAGTCTTTAAACTCTCTTTGTATTGTTCTTCATGTTCTTCGTGTCCTTCGAAGCGTTCTTTGTCGAAAGTCACTAACTTGGACAAATGATCCAATATTGGTTGACAAATCGATGAAGTTAACGTTCTTCGTCGTATGTACAAGCCAGAGGAAGGATCAAAGCTCCCAAAGCCATCGAGGAATCCATCAAAGCCAAGGAAGAGCCTCCAAAGTTGCTTCCAAAGCTTCAAGATGTTCATCGCATTCTTCATAAAAGGCGCAAACTCGGCCCTCTTCAATCGAAAAGTTAAAGAGACACGTCGCCAAAAGTTTTATAGAGCACCAAATCCACCCCTTCAAGGATGAAAGCTCCAAAAGTCGTTGAAGAATCTATCAAATCCAAGGAAGAGCATCCAAAATTCATCCAAAAGCTTCAAGGTGTTCATCGTGTTCTTCACCAAAGTATCAACTCGGCCCTCTTCAATCCGAAAGTCAAAGGGACACGCCGCCAAAAGTGTTACGGAGCACCAAATCCACCCCTTCAAGAATCAAAGTTCCAAAAGTTGTTGAAGAATCTATCAAAGCCAAGTAAGAGCATCCAAAATTCATCCAAAACCTTCAAGGTGTTCATCGCGTTCTTCACCCAAGCATCAACTCGGCCCTCTTCGATCCAAAAGTCAAAGGGACATGCGGTCAAAAGTGTTATGAAGCACCAAATCCATCTCCTCAAAGATCAAAGCCGCAGATCGTCCAAAGAAGACATCAAATTCAAAGCCGATGATCAAATCGCCCACATGGAGACCAAAGTTCTCCAAAAGCGGCAAAGCCAAAGCAAAGATCAAAGCTACGGATCGTCTAAAAAAGACATCAAATCCAAAGCCGATATCAAATCGCCTACACGGAGACCAAAGCTCTCCAAAAGACAGAAAATCTAAATCAAACATCAAAGCCTCGGATCATCCAAAGAGGACATTAAATTCAAAAGCCGATGATCAAATCGCCCACACGGAGACCGAAGCTCTCCAAAAGCCGGCAAAGCCAAACCGAAGACCAAAATCCCTTCGGATCAAAGAAGCCACCCAAATCCAAGTTGAAAAAAAATGGATCGACCCGGGAAGAGAATCAAAGGATCCGAATAGAGAATAGGACCCGCATATATTTAAATAAAATGTAATTTGTACAAATTTTTGTGTTTAATAAAATAACACAATTTTTTGTCCACAGATTTTTGGGACGCCCAGTGGGACCTCTGTACCTTTCATCTCTCTTTCTGATTAACTTTCAACAACCAATGGCTTCCTACAAGATCAAAACTTCCAACATTGCGTCAAAAGATGCTCCTTAAGCCGCCGTCACCGTAAAAAAAGTTGGCGCACCCATCGCGTCCAAAACCTCAAGCGCTTCGACAAATACTGGAATGACAACACGAAGCATGACCAAAAAAGCATTTCCGTTATTTGAAGACACTTCTTCAAAAATCACAAAGCAAAGTCCACTCTATGAAGAATACGACAACTTTAAGAGTACTGTTGCACTATTCACCCCTCAACAAACTGCAAGTCATTCAACCGCATCAAGCTCTGCTCCGGTGATGACTACCAACGCTTCAAATATTGAGGACCCAAAGATTGTGGATCAAAGTCTTCTCTGCAAGGAATATGAAAGCTTCAAAGGCACTTTCATGCCACATACTCATCAGCCAATTTCAAGTCATTCAACCGCATCAAGCTCTGCTCCGGTGATGACTATCAACGCTTCAAATATAGAAGATCAACTTGAAGTATTGGCCAAAATCATTGAAGGAATGTCTCAACACATGCAACAACAAGACGCCCTCATCGAAAAAATTCTCACAAAGCTAGACAAGCCTGAAGAAGCCGGCCATGCAACTGAAAAGCAACAATCTTCCCCAGCAGTCCAAAATAAAACGGCAACATTTGTGGAGCAACGTCATGGCAAATAAAAGGTGGCGGAATTAAATCCATTTCAAGGATCATCCAATTCCTTCATCCATATATCCCAACTTGATAAATACATCAAGGGGGCAATCAAAAGAGAATTCGAAGGGAGTTCAAGGCCGACGCACACTTACGCCAAGCCTTACACTGCAAGGATCGACGCCCTCAAAATGCCAACGGGCTATCAACCACCAAAGTTTCAACAATTTGACGGCAAAGGCAACCAACATATAGCGCACTTTTTCGAGACATGCAACGATGTTGGAATATATGGAGATCTCCTAGTCAAACAATTTGTGCAGTCACTAAACGGCAACTCTTTCGTCTGGTACATCGACTTAGATGCTGGTTCCATCGACAATTGGGAACAACTAACCGTCAGCATGACCGAACTCACCAACAGCCGCCAATGGAAAGATAAGCCAGTAATTGACTACATCAATCGTTGAAGAAGTCTAAGCCTCAACTGCAAAGACCGTCTGTCCGAGGCTTCCGGCATAGAAATGTGCATTCAAGGGATGCAATGGGGCTTGAAATACATCCTACAAGGGATCCGACCCCATACCTTTGAAGAACTCGCCACTCGCGCTCATGATATGGAATTGAGCATGATGTCTAGTGGAATGTATGGACCGCCTACTGAAGATTTCTTAGAAGACGAGAAATACAACACTTCAAACAATGGGGGTAGTCATACCTTCACCACTCCTGGAAACGAGGATAAACTTTCTTCACCCTCCTAGAAACGAGGATAAACTTTCTTCAATCTCTTGGAAACGAGGATAAACTTTCTACAACCTCCTAGAAATGAGAATAAACTTTCTTCAATCTCCTGGGAATGAGGATAAACTTTCTACAATCCCCTAGAAACGAGGATAAACTTTCTACAATCTCTTAGAAACGAGGATAACCTTTCTACAATCTCCTAGAAACAAGGATAAACTTTTTTCAATCTCCTGGGAATGAGGATAAACTTTCTAACAAGACTCCTTAATACGAGACTAAAATGTTTAACAAAAACAAACAAATTCAATTTGTTTTGAACTACGTT